AAACTGAGATTTGTGCTAATGATAACACTAATAATGCAAAGTTATTTGCATTACTTGACTTACAACAATTATCAGGGAAGGTCTTAATTTAATAAATATTTATTATGTTTACCTAAATTAATCCGCTGTATTTCAGGAATAGTGTTATCTTCTAGTTCATGGGCATAAGCCCATGCAGTATATAATCTGAAGCATTTTCCTGCTGCAACTCTACCAGCACGACCAGCCCTTTGATTAGCTGATGCTTTTGATATTGGTACGACCATTAAACTTTCCATACCTATAAGTAATTAATAATCAATACTAACTTATTCTTCATCTTTATACTTCAGTTTCAAAAATTTCAGAGTAATTAAATTTACCTGTCCTGGAATTAAAATTATTTTGTTTGGCAAACCCAGGGTCTATAACATAAATAATGTTATCAATGGTCAAACTCGTTTCTGCAATATTTGTGGCTAAAATAACTTTTCTTGCCCCAGGAGGTGTTGGTTCAAAAATTTTTGCTTGCAAATCACTTGGTAAATTAGCATATACAGGCAAGATAATCAGTTCCTTCAATTTTGATCCAAGTCGTTTTACACGATCCTGAAGCATTTCATTACATGTTTCTATTTCATCTTGACCAGTCAAAAAAACTAATATATCACCTAGAGGTTGAGTTGCATGAATTTGTAGTACAGAAACAACACATGCATCAACATAATCGGCTTCTGGAGCACGAGTATAGTATATATCTACTGGAAACCTAAGAAAACAAAAATACATACCATATAAAGGGTATAAAAAATATATAAAATACATACCAATAATTAAATTAGTATTAGTAATTAATTGCTTCCTAACCTTCGGCCTGGTATTCTAAAAATAGGTGCATCATCAAAGAAGTTTGAAAATTTTTCTGCATCTAATGTGGCACTAGATATTAGTAACTTCAAGTCTTGTCTAAATCTTGCTATATCTTTAACTAATCCAAATAAAATGTCTGTATGTAATGTCCTCTCATGAGCTTCATCAATTATCATTACAGAATAAGATGCTAAATCTGGTTCTGATAAAAACTCCCTATGTAATGTACCATCAGTCATGTATTTCAGCACAGTTCTTTCTGAAGTGCAATCTTCAAATCGGATACTGTATCCAACCTGGTAAAATAAACAAATTAAATATCATTAAGATTTAAATTAGAATTATGCAACATAATGACAGTAAATGAAGAAATTCAACAAAAAACAAACAACTACAAAAAAAGAATAGACGAGCACCCAAATTACTTGGCCAACAAAGTATACTCAGAAGCGCGCCCAACAAGACTAAAACGAAAAATTCCAAACGATCTTATAAATTTGTAAATTATTATTATTATTATTATTATTATTATTGTTATTATTATTGTTATTATTATTATTATTATTGTTATTATTATTATTATTATTATTACTATTATTATTATTATTATTATTATTATTATTATTATTATTATTATTATTATTATTATATTATCTTACTATTTCTATTATTGTTATTTTGTTATATTTTATTATTTTTCTAGTATTATTTTATTATTCTGAAATTTTATTTATATTATTTATTAATCTTATTTTTATTATTATTTGCTTATATTTTACATTAAATCATATTACGGATATTATTTTTATGTAAATTTTATCCTTTGCTCTTTTATTTATTTAAATTTATATTATTATTTATCAATATTACTTGATGTTAATAAATTAGCAGTTGTAATAATTATTGAAATTAAAAAAAAAAAAAAAAAAATAATTAAAAAAAAAATGTTAATAAATAAATTAATATAATTAACAAAAATTTATATAGTAGATGTTAATTAATTTTAAATAAGATTTTCTTACTTCATTTCCAAGTTTGACACCCATTTCCTGAGCAACACGAGCTGCAACTGACATAGCAGCAACTCTTCTAGGTTGTGTACATCCAATTTTTTTTCCATCTTCAGTAAAACCTGCTTCATACAAATATTGAGGTATTTGAGTAGTTTTACCTGATCCAGTCTCGCCTTCAATAATAAGAATCTAGTAAATTTATAATGAGATTAGTATCATACCATACCTAATATTTGATTTTATTATTTTATTAATTGCCTGGTGTTCTCGAATAGCAGCAATCAAATCTTGTTTAAATGGGAATACTGGTAAAGACTTTTTAGTTTCCTCTATATCCATTTTTTTCTTTTCGGCTTCAGTTTGAACAGGTTTTTTATCTTTGTCTTTAGTACCATCCATACGCAAAGCTTGTATAAATTCAATTTGATCATCTAATAATAGCTCATATTCATCCTGTGGTCACACATTTTTTTTATAAAAATAATATATATATTATTATATTCAACACATATTTTTTGTAATTAAAAAGAGAATATTATTACCTTTTTTGAATCACTCCGAGAGCCAAATTTGTAAACAGCTGATGACATCTGTTCTTGCTCCCATTTTTTTTGTTCATGATGGGGAAGCTTTTCACCTTCGTCAACCTCAACATATTCACCTACAATTTTTATAATATCATAAAAAGTTAACATAAGATAATTAATATTTAGATGTATGTTTAACCTGTCTCTCCTTTTTTAATATCTCTTGGCATATGATACCTTTGAATCCTTTCAAGTTCTCTAGCCTTTTCATGTTCTTTAGCAATCTGAAGTAATTGTTTTTTATGTTCTCTGTCACGTTTTCTCCTTTTCAGTTAATCTAGCACAAAGTTAAAATTTAATTATTTTTATTCTACCAAATAATATCAAAATAAATAAATATTTGCATACATTTCCTCTTCAAACAAGTATTCATCATCTGCTATATCTGCTTCCAACAGCAGCAACTTTATCTTCTTTACGTTTCTCCAGATATTTTCTTCTGGATTGAATTCTGAGTACAGGTAACATTTTATCTCGATCTTCAGCTTCTAATTTTAACCGTTTGGCTGCTTCTTCAAATCTATTTCCAGAAGCCTGTAATCGAAATATATCATAAAGGTTTGAAAATGCTAAATATCAGCTAATTAAAATTGAAATATTTTATATAACAATAGACATTTTGTTCTGAAGATAACTCTATAGGATCTAAAAATTTATATAAGAATAAACATTTCGGTCTATAAATAAAAAATCTTCAGCAGCGATTTGTATATCATATGTATTGTATATATGCAAAAATTTCGTAATTATATATTTATCATACATTTGACTATTTTGTATAATAGAAAATTATGATGGGTAAAGTATACTCAAATTAGTATCTGTAAAATCTCACCTCCAATATTTTTCTAGTCTTATTTTCATCTTTTTTCTTAAGTCTTGTAGCAAATTCATCTCTTTCCTTTAATCTTTTAATCGCTGCTCCTCCTCACTGTCTAAACTTCCAGAAGAAGAAGAACTTCGAGATCTTCGTCGACTCATTTTGAATATTTTTATTTTTAATAGAATGATATAAAGTAACTCATTACACTTGTTTTAATTCCAACGTAACGAAACTATTACTCCAGCTTATTAAGCAAGTCTTTACATTAATCGAGATGTAATTATGTTAGACAGTTTAAAAACATAAAAAAATTGTGTATCATTTAATATTTATAACATTATTTAA